GGCTAAAAGCAACTAAAAACTACTCAAGAAGAAATTAAAAACTCTAATAACAATTTTTAAACTAAAATTTTTTAAAGTTTTTAATTTTCTAATTTTTTAAATTTTACGATTTTTTCCGCATAGGATAGCAGAGATACATTGTTTGGGCAGCTTTGTTTCATTCATATGGATATGAAAACATAGAAACATTTCTTCAGAGAACATCATGTAAACATTACATGGTTTATAATGGTAACTAGGTATATAGATACTTACTCCGAGAGATTCTTCAAATGAATAATGGCACATTTCATCATGCTTCTGTAATAAAAAAACATTTTTGAATTAACAAATAACCTTAACGATAGGGCAGGGGTAGGAAATTGGAGAAGTACGCGCGCAAGTTAGATTTTATCTATTTTTTGATTAAATATTAGATATTTTGTGTATGAATGATCCTCAAACTACGTATAAAATGTGCTTTTGGACCAAACTTATGGTGTGGGTAGACATCGTGATCGACAATAAAAAGGGATAAATGCCGAAAACCGATTGTGGAAAACATTAAATTGGAAGGAGTAATAATTTGTAAGTTTTTTACTTCTTTGAATTCCGTCATACCATTCATCAAATGGCTTCATAATGACAAATAGCAATCAATATCCTCATCAATTATCTAGTTAGGATAGTACGCGCGCGCTGATTGGAAAAAAATTGTGGGTACCCACGCATCTAAGACGTTAAACACCGATGACGTAAGCACTTTTTTTACGCAAGGGGAAAAAATCATATCACGAAGTTGTTTTGATCGATTTTAACTGAAACTTGTTTCAAATAAACGACTATTTGTGCTATCTATATATCAAATATATAAACTTTTATGTATCATATAAGAAACTATTTCTTTAACCAAATTTTGCCTTCAAAAGTGTAAAATATGGTTCTAAAGGGTACTACATTTTTGCTTACATTTGCATCCAAAACCATTTTTATTTTAAAAATTCTATTATAAAAAAAATATATAGCTATTTCTGTTACATTTTGGACAAAAAAAAAAAATGGGGGTTACCCATTACGATTTATGATGAGTTATGATTTTTTGAAAAAAAATTTTGAGGATAAATCGGGTGCTAAAAGCGTGACAAGCGTGACGCGGCGTTACGAAACAGCGTGACTAGCTCTGTTTTCGACGTGTTTGTACTCGCAGGAAAAGCTAAATGAATGGCTGATATTTGGTGTAATGTGTGATTTCTTTTCAATTTTTAACTTTAAAACAAACCAAGCTTATCTGTATGGAAATATTGAAAAAGTTATTTTATTATTCACCGATCCGAGGCCATCGAAACTGCTTTTTCTAGAAAGTAAAAACATATGATTTTTCGCCACAAAACACCTGAATTCTTGAAGATTACTCCGTGATCCATCTTTGACTACATAAATAATAGTTATTGCTGTTGTTCTTGGTCTTTATTTTTTCAAAGACCGACGTTTTAGGTACCTTTGAGTGTTTTGCTTTGGAAACCCGCGGGAATCTGTCGATGCAGAAGCGCAGTAAGTGTGCGCGCTGACAATAGTAGGCACCATCCTTAAGAAAAGAATGTTGTCCCAAGGTTTTTCTTCTTCTATAACTCAACAATTATTGATGATTTCAAAAAATGTTTTTTTGCTTTGAACTCCTGGTATATCGCTTTCAATTTTTCAACGTTGCGATTTCAAATGGAAATGCAGCGCCCAGAAAACGCCTTCGAGCCAACCGTTAAAAATGTTAATAGCAAGATTAAGTTGCTTTTAAATTTCTACTGTACGCAATAAGCCTGAAGAAAGATGACGTTTTACCCCCGTCTCTAGACCATAATCCTTTTCACA